CCTGAAACAACTTTTGTGAGGCCCCTAGAGGCTCTCCAAGGAGGAGCCTCCGCAAAAAAGAGCTGAGGAGGATGGGGAGAATGCGCAGGGCGTGGCGAAAATAACGAAAAAGAAGCATGGAGGAAGGATAACGAATAACATCATTATAGCGGCGATGCCAGAAGGAATTATCGCTACATTGTCGGCTTGACCTTCCTGCTATTCCGCCAGCATACCAAATTTCAAGGACCAAGGTGCATGGCGCGAAGCGCCACTGCAGTCTTGTATATATATATATATATACACATATATATACATACATATATATATATATATACATATATATATATATATATATATATATGTATGTGTGTGTATATCCGCCGGCCCCCTTGCGGGGCCATCAGGCTGCGAGGATTGAGTTCGCTGCTCCCTGCACCAGTTCCAGTTTCCAGTTTCCAATGTTACAGTACTACTTTCTGCTTCCTGCTGTAAATTGCTACTGTCCGCGCAAAGGGGGGAGCCAGAAACCACCCTGGTTGGGGTTCCCGGATCGCGTGTTCAGAATTTCTGGGGGGCCGTGGCACACGTAAGAATACGTGAGATTCGCGCTCCCGACGCAATGATCCCTGGTAAATTACATTGTGCTCGCGCTTCCGAGGCCACGATTCTAGGTAAATTGCATTGTATTCGCGTCCCCGAAGCGACGATCCCGAATATATCCGTCGACCCGGTCAGCGTGTGTGGCGTGTCTGTCTTGTCCCGTTGACAGGACGCCTTTTCTGCAAAAAAAACATGATGGACCCACGAACCCGGAAAGGGATATAGACATGTGCAGCATGGTCACGTTTTCACGATACCCAACTGGGCGACACCTCACGAAACATCCCACGAGACACCCCGCGAAACATCCCACGAGACACCTCACGAAACATTCCACGAGACACCTCACGAAACATTCCACGAGACACCCCGTGAAACATTCCACGAGACACCCCACGAACAGGCAACCACTCAACCAGACACGCCACGAAACATTCCACGGGGGTGCGACTGGGTGTGGTCGTGCTGGGGTGTGGTCGTGCTGGGGTGTGGTCGTGCTGGGGAGTGGTCGTGCTGGGGTGCGGTCGTGCTGGGGCGTGGTCGTGCTGGGGTGGGGTCGTGCTGGGGTGGGGTCGTGCTGGGGTGTGGTCGTGCTGGGGTGGTCCGCACCCTGTGATTTATGGATCGGGTCGTGCTGGGGTGTGGTCGTGCTGGGGTGTGGTCGTGCTGGGGTGTGGTCGTGCTGGGGAGTGGTCGTGCTGGGGTGTGGTCGTGCTGGGGTGTGGTCGTGCTGGGGGGTGGTCGTGCTGGGGGGTGGTCGTGCTGGGGGGTGTGGTCGTGCTGGGGTGTGGTCGTGCTGAGGTGGCCCGCACCCTGTGATTTATCGATCGGGATTTCGAAAACAAGCGTTTCGCCTGAGACATCCTCAAATTTTAATTCGCCGGCCTCCTTCGACCTCGATATTTATCAGGGAAAAAATTCGCCGGCCTCCTTCAAGTTGGCACCGGGGGACAGGTTTACCTACTAAAAGAGAACCCTGGGCTCATGCCCTTTCCGGGAACATGATCAAACACTACGGAAACTGCTGTGGCGAGCGATTAGTTTCAGCGGCACCGTAACGGGTATTCACTAGCTGGTATTTTGAGAAATTGCGCCGGAAGTTGCCACTTTAGCGCCTCTTTCTGGCATAGCAGCCTTGCCCGCATCGGGGAGGATTGGGTTCGCCGGGCCACTGGCCAAAGTACCTGTTAATGGAGTCCCTGTTGGAGGGGCGCTGATACTGAAGGTGACGATCTTCAATTGGTAACTGGATAAGTACCACATCCGAACCCGCAGCCTGGGTGAGCCGTGCCCGGGCACCGCGAGGATAAACGCCTAATGTATCCCGAGCACGGACAAGGCGGCAAAGCAAGGCGACGGGTGGCGCGAAAAGGAACGGGAACATGATCCAGGACAACTCACTGCGCCAGCGGTGAGCAATCTGAGATTGGTGTTGGGCGAGACTGGACGGAACTTTGTGGGCATCAGTTGTTCTGTCTTTTGTAGTGCTGAAGCGCGGGTGCGCGTGGCCTGCTTGGTATCAACGTGGCGCGCATGTGCGTACAGTGAGCGGCTTGAATAAAGAGCACTTATTTTTCAAAAGGGGCTCGGTCGTTCCTTTGGTTTGCACGCGTTCCACTACCTTTTTGGCGGCCGTTCCTTCGGATTTCGTAGGCTTACTTGGAAAAAAGGAGCTTCGTTCCTTATTTACCGTTCCTTCGGTCAGGGCGATGACTTTATGTATGGATGTAGGTTTGTTGTTTGCACATGTGGATACACACGAAGAGAAACGAACACGAGAAGGGGGCGGAGGACGGCGCCTGCGATGACGGCGACGAGTTTGAACACCGCAGACGGTCAGGCGGAGGGCAGCAACTCGGCCTGACAAACAGGCGGGAATCGCAGGCCTAGAGGTTGACACCAACACCAAGATCGGCGGCGTTCCTCCACCGAAGGAAGAAAATCCCACCTCGGTGATGGTGGTAGTATTCTGGCTTCCAGGGTGACCGAAATATTACCACCAACGCCGAATTCTAGGATCGTCTCCACCCTGTGGAGGCAGCCCCGTGTCTTGGTGTTGGTGCCCATTTCCAGGCCTCCAATGGAAGAGGGGATAGTGGACAAATCAGGGTGGCGTGGGAGGTTTAAGGGGGGCGGGTGGGATGGCAGAGGGGAAGTGGAAAGTGGAGGGGGACATGTGTGGAATGGCGGGCGCAGGGCCGGGCAAGGGAAGGGACAGGGGCCCGTACAAGACAGACAGCGCCCCGGAAGGGGTCGGAAGGTGAGCGCGCCAAGCCCCGGGCACGCTATCGAGCTCTGTGCCTTCTCAGCGTCGACCTCGGCCACGCGGGCCGCAGGATGCTGGGTAGCCCGCGGCCTCCGGGCAACTCGCGGCCGCCGGGCAGCACGTGGACGCTCCCAGACACGCCCACGCGAGCGCGCGCTCCGAGGCCATGGGCGACATGTACTCCGCCGAGAGCTTCCCCAGGCTGCTGAGAAGCCTCCCCGCAGAGGCCGACCCGTCGCCCCTCTCTGGCGCCCGTCTCTGGCCGCCTGCCCCGATGTTCCCCACCCGACAGGTTGGGGTCGCTAGACTTTAGGAGAAGAGACCTCCCGACCTGCGCCACTCTGCATACCGCGGCCGCCAGATCCCCAGGTCCCCTGAGTGTCCCCGAGTGTCCCACCTCGCGCCACAATGCATACCGCGGCCGCCAGATCCCCAGGTCTCCCGAGTGTCCCCAATGTCCCGCCTTTCGCCACTCTGCATACCGCGGCCTCCAGATCCCCAGGTTCCCCGAGGCCCCCGAGTGCACCCCAGTGTCCAGCCCTGCGCCACTCCACATACCGCGTCCGCCAGATCCCCAGGTCTCCCGAGTGTTCCCGAGTGTCCCGCCCCGCTCCTATTCGCCCACTCTGCATACCGCGGCCGCCACATCCCCAGGTCCCCTGAGTTCCCCCCAAGTGTCCGGCCTCGCGCCACAGATACCCAGGTCCCCCGAGTGTCCCCGAGTGTCCCGCCTCGCTCCGACTGGCCCATTCTGCATACCGCGGACGCCATATCCACAGGTTTTCTGAGTGTCCCCGAGTGTCCCGCCTTGCACCTTTCTGCATACCGCGGCCTCCAGATCCCCAGGTCCTCCGAGTGTCCCCGAGTGTCCCGCCTCGCGCCGGCAAATCATAGCACAGGGCGGTAGTAGAACATGGTATAGCATAGTACAGCAATCCTTTATACGCTATGACAGACCACAGCATAACACCACGCCGCCTACCATATCATGTCCGAACATATACCACATCATGACATACCATACCTTAACATATCACACCATGACCGTGCCGCGCATACCATAGCACAGCATCACAGCACATAACTACATACCATGGCAACTCAAGCATACCGTAAGAAACTGTCGCAGAACTGTGCAAAACAAGCCATACCACATCTCAGCCTCACACAGCATGGCATAGCTTATCAACTCGCAACACAGCATACCAACGCGTGTCATGGCAGATCGAATCATGCATACATTAACACAGCATACCATACCATGGCATGCCATGCCATGGTATAGTACACACTACCATGACATACCACAATACAACATAGCACGTCATGGTAGCACACATAGCATGGCATATAGCATCGCAGCACAGATGGTATCACATACCATGGACTAACGCGGCATACTATGCTACAATATAAAGAGAACATGACATATTATCATAACATACGTTATATCATATCGGATCAGACTTAACTGAGCATAACACGACAGTTCACATCGTAGCCTAACAGAACATACCACACCCTGTCATGGGATAACATGTCACACCACAACATACCTTGACAACGCAGATTACATGTTAGCACAGCATCCAATCACATGGTATTATGTAACATTCCCAACGCGACGCGCGCACCGTTGGGAACAACCTCCGAGGACTTCTGTGGGGATCGCTCGAAGCACAATAATGTCTGTTGTATCACACCTTGTGCTCGTGTTTGGCCCACAGACACGTGTATCTTGCATATCTGATTGTGTTTGAGTGCCGCTTCCGCCGCTTCCGCCTCCATTTTTATCTTTGTCCAGTTCCGACTCCCCTCGGAGCTGGGTTTCGTCGTCGCTGCCCCGCTTCGGGCCCCCAGGGCCTTGGCGGAACGATCCGGGTGGCGGAACGATGATGCGAAACCGTGGGGTCGAGATACTTGGCTGTACTTGTTCACGACGTTGGATCTCAGGATTCGGTCGGTCTGCCTGTCAGCTTTTGTGTCGTGCTTCTTTACGCCGCGCATGCACTGCCCTCCCTCGTGCCCCCTTGTGCCCCCGCTCGTGTCCCCCTCCCCTCCATTTCATCCCGCCCCTCCACGTCACTGGCTGAGCCAACTTCTGCAGCGCGTGTGGCGACTGGCCAGCCGGAGGCCTCGGGTTCCCCTCGCGCTGCCCTCTCTCGAGGAAGAGAAGACGGCATAACCATACCTGTTCGACCAGGGATGGACCCAAACGGTGTTTGGGCGATTTCGTGGGCCGTTTTCCTTTCGATTTCGTTCTGCGTGAAAGGCGGATTGAAGACACAACTAGGGCAAACGAAAACGAAACGAAAACGAAAAACACCGTTTAGGTTCAGCCCTGCTTTCGACGGTCCGCGCGGACTTCTTGGATCTGCGCTGGACCCCCTCCGTGGCGCGCGGAGCGCGCCAGGGGCGGCGACGGAGGAGGCGCGGCGGGGGTCCCAGGCGCCGATCCAAGAAATCCGTGCTGACCTCTCGAGGGCGGGCATGGCGGGACTCACCCGCGCGCTCTGTACCGCTTGTGCTCGTGTCACTGGCGAAGGGGTACAAAATCATGGATTCGTGTGCCGACGGCGATGACGACGACGACGACAACGACGACGACGATAGTTCCCGCGATAGACGCGTCCCAGACGGCCGCGAGGGGCACAAAATCCTGGACTTCGCTTGTGGAAGCAACCACGTGGTCGTCTTCACGGACCAGGGCGCAATCTACGAGTGGGGCAACAGGACCTTGCTTGCGGCCAGAGGCGGGACTCGAAGAAGAAAAAAAGGCACAACCATAAATTGTTGGGGTGGTTCCGCGCGGGGTTCTTGGACCTGACCCTGAACCCCCCCTGAAATTCGCACGGACCGTCGAACGTTTCTGTTATGTCGTTGTTCTTCCCTCGACGCTTGCAGCCAGAGGCGGGATGCGGGAGGCGACGGTGTGTGTAGTGTCCCCTGGAGCTCTACATCCTCGAGTCGTTCCTCTCTCTTTCGCCTTGCTTTTTATTCGCCAGAAGCCAGGAGGTGCGATGGGAGGGTGAGTGATGGGATTGGGAGAAGGGAAGGGACCAGAGAGGGATGGATGGATGGAGGGAGGGAGGGAGGGAGAAGGGGGGGAATAATGAAGGGAGGGAGCAGGGATGACGGCGGTTGATGGGAGTGATGGGAGGTGACGGGGGGAGCAGGCAGGGAGTGCGCACAGGGTTTGATGAGGTGCGGAGTGGGGTCATTCGTGGCAGCAGCGCACGCCTTCCGTCTGGCCTCGAGCTGGAGTGGAGATTCCGAACAGGCCTCCCCTTTGCCCTCCCTCAGCTGAGCGCCAATTGCACACCGACGCCCACGCAGTGGGAGCCCATGCTAAGAAGCACCCGGCGTTCTGCTGCAGGGTGCCCTGGGTTTCTGTGGCTTGCGCTCGGGCCGAAGGCCTGCGGCGGCTGCGAAGACGCCGCAGCAGGCAGGCTGCCCCTCGTTCTTCGGCAGCGCTCCGGGCGTCTCCCTCGCGTCGCCGATCCTCCCTCGGTCCTGCATCTTGCGTCGAGACTCGCCCTGGCTGGGGCGGACAGGCCTGACCATACAACGGTGCAGATGTTCGTCCGCGATCGACATGTTTTTTGTGGAGTTGAGATGTTTACACGCGCCATCAAGTAGCCGCCTGGCCCAGGGTACCCTCAGTTTCGTCGCTGGCAGCCGCCAAACAAGAAGCCCAACCCTGGCCCACGAAGCTTCGTCGATGTTCAAGGTTGGGTTTCTTGCGATGGATTCTTTGTGGACTGGTCTTGACTGTACTGACCACCTGGGCCCAGGACCACGCACTGTACGACCGAGTGAGGGGTCCGAACGGTCTCACACCGTCCGTGGGTGCGTGGCTGAGTTGGGACTCCGCGGCGCGGTTTCTGCTTGAGTATTCATTTCTAGACTATAATTATTGCTGGGTTCCGCGCGCTCTCGCCTCGACGCCGGCTACATTCTCTCTGAAAACGAGGCTCCCGCTCGAGCGTTGGCTTGAGCCTAAATGTGGGCCCTTGGAGGCCCAGCTGCGACGACAACGGCTCCAGCTCGATACCTCACAATTTACCCCGAGACACCCTGGCCAGAGAGGCCCTCGAACTCAGGAGCGGCGCTTTCGCTCGAGACTTCCTCGCAATTCAGTCAAGTTGGCGGAGGCCCAGCCACGACGACAAGGGCTCCTGCTCGATACTTCCTCACGATTTACTCCGAGAGCCCCTGGCCAAGAAAGTCCCCGAAATCAGGAACGGCGCTCTCGCTCGAGATTTTCTCGTGATTCAGGCAACTTGATGGAGGCCCGGACACGGCGACAGGGGTTCCCGTTCGATATTTCTCCATAGGTATTCTAAAAACCCCTGGCCAGAGAGGCCCTAGAATTCAGGTACAGTGCTCTCGCTCGAGACTTCCTCGAACTTCAGTCAGTGGCCGACAAGGAAGAGGTTCCCCCTGAAAGGGGGTGCAATCGAAGGCGAAGTGGGCGGGTATCGAGGGTTGGGGTATACGGACTGCAAGAGCCAGTGAGAGCGAACAGTCTTACAATGATTGTTGTTGTTGTTGTTGTTGTTGCCAGGGCTGGACCTGAACGGTCTTTTTGGTGATTTCGTGGGCCGTTTTCGTTTCGACTTCGTTTTGCAGCAAAGGCGGATTGGAGACAAAAGCGAGGGAAAGCGAGAACAAAACGAAAACGAGAAACACCGTTTAGGTTCAGCCCTGGTTGTTGCTGTTGCTGTTGCTGTTGCGTTGCGTTGCGTTGCGTTGCGTTGTTGTTGTTGTTGTCGCCGTCCCACCCGAAAGCCGCCGGCGACCCACCCGCAACCCACGCGCGACCCACCCCGCGACCCACGCGCGACCCACCGGCGACCCTGTCGCGACCCAACCCGCAGCCCGCAGCCCGCAGCCCACCCGCGACCCAACCGCGACCCACCCCGCGACCCACCCCACGACCCACCCGCGACCCATCCGCGACCCACCCGCGACCCACCCGCGACCCACCCCGCGACCCACCCGCGACCCACCCGCGAGCCACGCGCGACCCACCCCGCGACGCCCGCGTCGCCCGCGCCCGCCCCCTAACTCTTATCCACAATTTCTCGCTGCTACGTATTATTGTCATGGGAGACGGGTGTACGTACGCACCGATCTTCATCCTCCTATGCTGGCCTTTTCCCGCCCGAGAGCAAGAGCGCAGGACATGGCTGGAACCCCACGCCATCTCGCTGCCAGAGGAGCATCGCGAGGCCTTGAAGGACGTCGGGGGATGGTATCATATTCCATGCTGAAGCCGACTGCCCCATCGCTCCGCTGCCGCCACCTGGAAGGCGCAGGCAGCATTAGAGCCCAAGCTCTCGACCCCATGGTAGATATCGAAAGGTTGGGTCAGAGAGGAGAGCTGTGTTGTGACGAGCTTGCGGGGAGAGACGCCCTACTCGTTTTCATTCCTTCTTCTTGTCGTCCCTCCTCTCTTCTCCTCGTCTGATGTGGGTCTTTCCAGGGTGCAGCAACATAATACGAAAGTGTGCCAGTGGTTGTCCAAATTCTTACACGGGAGGGGGAGTCCATAAAGTTCTCTCTTCTTTTCTTCAACCGGGAATGTTTTTGCCCGCCGCCCTTCACTGGTAGGGGATTCACACGAATGAGGGACGGCTCCCAGTCACTTGGGCGATTGCCAGGATCGTGTTTCTTTATTGCTTGGGGCATGACGGGCGTCATTGCCCCCGCCCCCCCCCCACATATGACGTAATGCTCCCCTCCTCAGTGCGTTCCGGGCCCCGCCGCCGTGCGCATCGTGATCCGCGTCCTCGTCGTCGTCGTCGTCGGCGTCGCTCGTCGCTCGTCGCTTATCGTCGTCGTGCGCGCGGGCACATGGAGCCTAAAAGAAAAATCCGCGCCGATGATTGCAATCATCTGGGGGGGGAGGGGCCGATGACGTCACGTTTTGCGCCAGCGGCGTCTTGGAATGCCTGGGAATGACGACGGGTAGCAGCAGCATGTCGGTGGCGATCTGCGCCACAACGCCAATACACCACAGTGCGCGCGTGCACCACAGCGCCTGTGTGCACCACACCGCCTATGTACACCACAGCAGCCGCGTGCAACACAGCGCCAGTGTGTGCCACAGTGCCTGCTGGCACCACAGCGCTTATGTACACCACAGCACCTGCGTACACCACATCAGCCGTGTGCAGCACAGCACCTGTGTACACAATGCCCGCGTGCGCTACAGCGCCTGTGTACACCACGGCGCTTGTGTGCACCACAGCAACCGTGCGCAACGAAGAACCATTCTTGTATATAGAATTTGGAGAGAAATCCGTATGACAAAATGGACCGCCTGTGGATTCAACTGGAAACAGTTTTTTTGTACTGGATTTGGAAAGGAATCCTTATGGAAAAAGGAGCGCCCCTGGAATCTACGAGTCCTCCGGAGTCCGCCCGCATCAGCCTAATCCTTCCCATCTGCCTCCTGGAGGTTCTAGCTAAACTGGCCGTCCGAAAACCAACTGGATTGATTCAACAGACCATACTGCGGTGCACGTTGAGATGCGCACGTGCGCTGTATCGCCGACCCGCACGACAGGGGGGAAGGGTGAGGGGGGAGGAGGGGGAGGAGGAGGACGAAGAGGAGGAGTAGGAGGAGGACGAAGAGGAGGTGGAGGTGGAGTACGGAAGGGGGAAGGACGTCGCATTCTATTATCAGCAATTCCCCGGCGTGGCGATTAGCTGTCCGCAGCAGATCCTCACCGACATGTTTTTCGACATGTCCTGTGCGCACGCAGGCGCTTTGGTGCACCAGCGTTGCATTACACGCGGATGCTGTGGTGTAGACAGGCACTGTGGTGTGCACAGGCGTTGCGGTACACGTAAACATTGTGGTGTAGACAGGCGCTGTGTTGCACATGGCTGCTGCGGTGTACACAGGCGCTGCGTTGCACACGGCTGTTGCGGTGTACGCAGGCGTTATGGTGTACACAAGCGCTGTGGCGCATCTACAAAATAGCGGCTTACCAAGAAAAGCGCGTAGCCCGTCCGCGTTGCACATGGCGCGATACCAGCGTCAACGCGAGAGCCGTGATTCGGGGCTGGGGGTGGTGTCGTAGTTGGATTTGCAGATCGCTCAACTTAGACCGGCACGCTTCAGTTGAGAGCGTTGTGCATCAGCCCGAGGTTTGTGTCAAGCGATGTGTCTATGGATCCGGTCCTATACGTGATGAGGAGGTGGCCGGCGGCGACGCGGCGAAACTTCGGCGCACCCCCCCCTGGTTCAGGAGCGAAAGAAGGACGTACATGTACATGAATCCACGCTGGTTTCGAGACCACGCATTGCACAAATGTTCGCATAACGCGGCCCGCCTCGCGAATCGAGGGGCCGTGTTCATGTACATAGCCGGGCGCGCACGTCCTCTGTGGGCTCCCTACTGGTGGGCGGCAGCGGCGCGGGAGGCGGCCACGGAATTGGGCGGCGACGGGGCGGCCACGAGGCAGCCACCATTCAGGAGGGAAAACATGATGGACCCACGAACCCGGAAAGGGATATAGACATGTGGAGCATGGACACGTTTTCATGATACCCAACTGGGCAACACCTCACGAAACATCCCACGAGACACCTCACGAAACAGCCCACGAGACACCTCACGAAACATTCCACGAGACACCTCACGAAACATTTCACGAGACACCCCGCGAAACATTCCACGAGACACCCCACGAAACATTCCACGACGACAGGCAACCACTCAACCAAGGCGGTGTGGTCGTGCTGGGGAGTGGTCGTGCTGGGGTGTGGTCGTGCTGGGGGGTGGTCGTGCTGGGGGGTGGTCGTGCTGGGGGGGTGGTCGTGCTGGGGGTCGTGCTGGGGCGTGGTCGTGCTGGGGCGTGGTCGTGCTGGGGCGTGGTCGTGCTGGGGCGTGGTCGTGCTGGGGCGTGGTCGTGCTGGGGTGTGGTCGTGCTGTGGTAAGGTCGTGCTGGGGTGCGGTCGTGCTGGGGTGTGGTCTTGCTGGGGTGGGGTCGTGCTGGGGTGTGATCGTGCTGGGGTGGGGTCGTGCTGGGGTGTGGTCGTGCTGGGGTGTGGTCGTGCTAGGGTGGGGTCGTGCTGGGGTGGGGTCGTGCTGGGGAGTGGTCGTGCTGGGGTGTGGTCGTGCTGGGGTGTGGTCATGCTGGGGCGTGGTCGTGCTGGGGTGGGGTCGTGCTGGGGTGGGGTCGTGCTGGGGTGGGTTCGTGCTGGGGTGCTCCGCACCCTGTGATTTATCGATCGGTCGTGCTGGGGTGTGGTGCTGGGTGGTCGTGCTGGGGAGTGGTCGTGCTGGGGTGTGGTCGTGCTGGGGGTGGTCGTGCTGGGGGGTGGTCGTGCTGGGGCGTGGTCGTGCTGGGGGGTGGTCGTGCTGGGGCGTGGTCGTGCTGGGGCGTGGTCGTGCTGGGGCGTGGTCGTGCTGGGGTGTGGTCGTGCTGTGGTGAGGTCGTGCTGGGGTGTGGTCGTGCTGGGGTGTGGTCTTGCTGGGGTAGGGTCGTGCTGGGGTCGGGTCGTGCTGGGGTGTGGTCGTGCTGGGGTATGGTCGTGCTGGGGTGGGGTCGTGCTGGGGTGGGGTCGTGCTGGGGTCTGGTCGTGCTGGGGTGTGGTCGTGCTGGGGTATGGTCGTGCTAGGGTGGGGTCGTGCATTTCGCTCGAGACATCCTGCCAAAATTCCAGGAAATCGTACAAAAACAAACAAATTAGTCGAAACATCATCGAAATTCCTTCGCGCGGGGCGCTTTTCCGCGTCGCGGTCGGCTCTGCAAAACAAGCGTTTCGCTCGAGACATCCTCGGCAAACTCTGCGGAGCAAGCGTTTCGCTCGAGACATCCTCAACACACGAAAAAGTGGCCCGCACCCTGTGATTTATCGATCGGGATTTCAAAAACAAGCGTTTCGCTCGAGACATTCTCAAATTTTAATTCGCCGGCCTCCTTCGACCTCGTTATTTATCAGGGAAAAAATTCGCCGGCAATTCGCCGGCCTCCTTCAAGCAGGCACCGGGGGATTAGGTTTACCAACTAAAAGAGAACCCTGGGCCCACGCCCTTTCCGGGAAAAACACACAGACACAATTAATCGTCGATCCCCCAGAAAATATGGGAAAATATGGGAAGTGGTGGGGAAGACAAAAACCGAGAAAATATAGGAAAATATGGGGAACCTTTTTATTTGTGTGTATTTATTTGTATGTCCCAGGGCCCCTTCAACCATGCGGCCAGGGGCGGCGTCGTGGTGAGTCCTCTCGGAGGGCCCGGCCGGCAACGGGGCGGCGGAGGAGCGGCCACGGGGCGGCCACGGGCGGGGGCGCGGCGAAGCCTCGGCGGGCCCATGCGGGTCCTTTGGCGGCAGAAGTCAGAGCTCCTCCTCGACCTCCTCCTCCTCCTCGACCTCCTCCTCCTCCTCCTCCTCCTCCTCCCCCTCCTCCTCCTTATCCTCCTCCTCCTCCTCCTCCCCCTCCTCCTCCTCCTCCTCCTACTCCTCCTCCGATGCTGCCTCCATCTGCGCACTCGCACCTCCGCCCTCGCAGGGGCCGTTCCGACTCGACTCGGGGGAGCGTAAGACCCGGGTTTGCCAGGACTCGGGTTCGCCATCTCTTTTTGACGACCGCGCCTCGGATTCTGCCGAGGAGGAGTTTCGTGGGATGTCTGCAGCAGGAGGCCTCGTCAAAATGCAGTCTCGGCCTCGTCATTTTTTTGACGACCTCGTCGGGCATTTCCGAGTCCCCTGTACCCGGGTCTTCCGTCCCCCTGATGCTATGGGGGGGAGAGACACACACACACACATCCTTTCCAGTCGCCGCACTTCGAGGGCGACGGCATGCGTGGTCAAGGGATCCTTGTGATCTCAAAAGAGGGTGGAATTCCCAACGAGCCCCCAGAGATTTCGATCCGTTTCCCCAGGAACCCCCAGCACATCTCAGGGCGAAGCAGTACCACAAACATGATGGACCCACGAACCCGGAAAGGGATATAGACATGTGGAGCATGGACACGTTTTCATGATACCCAACTGGGCAACACCTCACGAAACATCCCACGAGACACCTCACGAAACAGCCCACGAGACACCTCACGAAACATTCCACGAGACACCTCACGAAACATTTCACGAGACACCCCGCGAAACATTCCACGAGACACCCCACGAAACATTCCACGACGACAGGCAACCACTCAACCAAGGCGGTGTGGTCGTGCTGGGGAGTGGTCGTGCTGGGGTGTGGTCGTGCTGGGGGGTG